GCTGGGTAAAGGGCATTGGGTCCTCCAGTCTGAGGGAACAGGGAAAAGTTCTGAGGACATGTGAGATCTTGTTGTCATAATGTACATCTGGAATAAGTGACTGGTTTTGAGAAGAATCTGAAAAGGAGGCAGAAATCAATGCATGCAGGACGGAAAACCATGTTTTCAGAACACATAAGGGATGCAGTGAGAGAAGTACCGTACGAAAAAGATAAATAGCTGCCTTTTGGGTGATTTTTAGTGGGCTCATAATGGATACAAGGAACAGAAGGCTACGGCAGTATCCTCTGGATGGTTATAAAGTAGGGTGGTACAGATCGATACAATTTAAAGATTTCCTGAGGATAAATCTGTTGATGGACATTTGATGGTAAGGGAGAAGGATGAGAGTAGCATACAACTGGTTCGATGGGACGTTTGCTGTGTTTGTCACAGTGGAAAAAAGCAAGAGTTGGGGAAATAATTTTAGGCCATGCTGAACTCAAGATCAGAAGTTGTCCAGCATGAAGCTAAATACATAGGCCTAGAGCTCAGGAAAGATCCAGGAGATGTGTACTGGTCTGCACATAGGTAGTCAACAGTGGGTACAGGTGAAATTACCTATGAGGAGTAATGAGGATCAAGTGTGGCAAACACTGACTACCTGTGTTCCTCCCCTAAACTAATTTCAAAGTCCAAAGTATTATATAAAGAAGTATAGTCCCCTCCATTATGTATCCTTCCCACTGGAGGTAGAAAAAGTTCAAAGATGAAGTTATGGTTTAGTCATTCATTTAAAAAAAGATAAACGGTTAAATGATGGCTTGCAGTATTTGCTTTTCTCCACATTGCTTTTTTTCATTTAATGTCCTGGAATTGATTCCTCTAATGAGGTTTTTTTCAGTTCCTTATTGATGACATTTGAGTTGTTTTCAAACCTTTGCTACCCTAAAGAGTGGTGCAATTGAAAGTCTTGCCCACATGCCTTTTCCTATTTTTACCGTTAAATATTTGGAATGGAGTCCTAGAAGTGAGACTTTTAGGTCAAAAGATAAATCAGCCAAATACATATTGTCAAACTTCCCTTCATGAGAGTCAAACCATCTTACCTTTCTACCGCCCCACAACAATGACCAGCAATGTCTGTTTTCCCAGATTCACCAATATGTTGTTTTGTGTGATTTTTTATTTTAAATCTGATAGGTGAGACATGGCTTTCAAGATAGTTTTAATTTGCATTTCTCTTGAGTGAGGTTAAGTCACTAAAGGGCCATTTATATTTCCTTGAGCTTGTTTATAACTGTAGGATATATATGGGATTCTTGATTTTTTTAATGTATTTTAGAAGCTCCCTCTGTAATAAGGTTATTAACTCCTTGCCTGTGATATAAGTTGTAAAACTTCTTTTCAGTTTTGTCTTTTCCTGTATTTATGGTGCCTTTTATACTGTTACTATAAGAAGCATTGTTTTTATTTTTATGCGCTTAAATCTATTAACCTTTTCCTTTTTGCTTCAGGATTTTCAGCCATGGTTAGAAAAATTTCCCCCATTTTCCAGGTTATAAAAATTTGTTCATGTTTTCTTTTAGTGCTTATATGGTTTCATTTTTTAAATTTGGGTGTCTGTTCTATTCGAAATTTATCCTGGTTTACTATTTGAAAAGTAGTCCAAATTTTACCTTTCTTTGCCCCATGTGGCTACCCATTTATCTACCATTACTCCTGATACAGAAGTACTCAGGAAGTTCTGATTAGCTTTGATTTTTCCCACTTGTCTGGAAATTCTTGTTTATGGTTATGCTGAAGTGGTTGGAGAGCCTACATTAGAACTGTAGTGTGCTGCGCTTTTATAAGCTGGATGATTTAAATGCCAGGAGTACTGTGAAATAAAGTGTTGCAGTTTATAAAGGATTTTCTCTGATCAATCAGTAGTCCTATGTAAATGGAATATTAACCAAGAAACTAGATTATTTGGTAAAAGGAACTTATTTGGGATTTTAAGAATGCACTCTAGGCCACATTGACCCCAAAAGCCCTTGAACTGTATCCTGCCTCTGCTGCTTACTTATTACATGACCTTGGACACAGCTCTACATTCTGGCCCTCAGTTTTCTTATCTATAAAGAAGCTGGAAATAGGTCAGTGTTTCTCAAACGTTAGAGACTCCTGCCTCCTTTTGATAAACACAGATACCCCCTTGTTTCCCTGCCCAGTTCTGATTGCCCTATTTATTTTTGACTGATGCAAAAATATCCCCACCAACTACCGTCTTAGAAAGCTTTCTATTCCAGGGCCTTGCTGGTGGCACATGGGGTTAAGACGCAGCCTATGAAGCTGTCCACAGCCACTTCAGCATGAGTTCGATCCAGGGATCGAACCCCTGCAGGGAGCTACCCACATGGCGCAGCAGACCTCTCCTGTCTCGCCCACTGCTCCCCTCAGCAGTGTATTTCAGTAGATCTGCCTGTTCTGTCCCCTGCTGTCTCCGGTGAATCCTCTCACCCCCGCACCTCTGGCCTGTGTCCCAGTTCTTGTAGAAATAAATCTTAAAAAAAAAAAAAAAAAAAAAAGCTTTCTATTCCAAAACACAACAAAGTAAGGGTCTTTAAATTTTCCATATGTAAACTTACAATATTGTGTATGTTCTTTAAGACACACATGCTCCCTGAGAGTACCATAAGTCCCCTCTCTCTGCTGGCTAACACACTTTCTAAAGCTTTTGTGATTCAGAGAACTAGACTGGGAATCATGAATCTGTTCTCTCAATTATGACTGGGTATGTTTTCTTCCAAGGGAAGAAACTATTAATATACAACTCTTCTTTCCCTAACTCTCTGAGATGCATGGCGTGAATTACACAAATCCAGTTCTACATTCTTAGTGATAAATCTTTATTCTTGCCCAGAGAGCCACACTATCAAACTGTAGCTTAAATCGGATCTTTCCTATCACTTCCTTTTCTCTGTGGATCCTTGGGCATCTCTAGCCCAAATACAGGCGCCAAAGGCAGCCGCTGAATTTGGGGGAGGAGCACACTGGGATTTTCCTACACATAAGCTAAACCTCTGCCTTATTCCTTTGAGCTGCACCACAGGCATTCTGACACCTTGCTGTAATTTTCAATTTACTTATTTTTCCTACCTCACTAGAGACTGTGAATGCCAAATTTATCGGTGTGCATATTTGGATAAACCCATATAACTACAAAAGAATTTTAGGTCAGATAATGAACATTACCCTTCATTCATAATGTGGGAGGATCACACAGAATGAATAAAACAAACATCAAAGAAAAAAACTATTCAGGGAACAAACCAAAACAAGTGACTCAAATAGATTCAAGAAACAGAAGAAAATCTCTCAACCTAAGGAAATTTCTCTTGGTCTAATGAATTTTGGTGTGTTCCTCACATTGAAAGGTCCAACTGTGGGTCTCCCTGGTGGCGCAAGGGGTTAAACACAGCACTGTAAAGCTATCACCAACCCCTGCAGCACAAGTTCAGCACCAGTCGATCCCCTGGCTGGCCAGGGAGCTACCCACATGGCGCAGCACACCCCTCCTGTCACCCACTGCTCCCCTTAGCAGTGTATTTCAGTCAGTCTGCCTGTTCTGCTCCCCACTCTGTCTCTGGTGAATCCTCTCATCCCCCACACCTCTGGCCTATACCCCAGTTCTTGATGGATAATTTTTTTTAAAAAATGAAAGAGGGACTCCCCAGTGGCACAGTGGGTTGAATGCCGTGCTGTGAAGCTGTCCACAGCCTCTGCACGCGGGTTCGATTCCCGGCCAGCCAGGGAGAAACCCATATGGCGAGCAGACCTCTCCTGTCTCACCTGCTGCTCCCCTCAGCAGTGTCCTTGGTCCATCTGCCTGTTCTGCTCCCCACTCTGTTTCTGGTGAATTCTCTCACCTTCCCACGCCTCTGACTGTACCCCCCAGTTATTATATAAAAAAAAATAAGAATAAAAAATGAATGAAAAGAGAGGTCCAACCATCAGCCAGGCAAAATTAAGAAAAAGCTCATACTTCATAGACATTCAGAAGAAATTTCAGGACCCCAAGGATAAAGAGCAAATCCTAAACTCTTCCAGAGGGGAAAGAAAAGAGGTCCATCTTGAATTGGACCTATACAGGGTCTCACTATGCTAAGTAGCAGGAACATCTTCAGCTGTGCCTCTAATCAGCCAGGAGAGTCGCTTTTCGTCTCCGGGCTGGGCTTCACATGCTCTTACATGAGGAGATTGGACCAGATGATCCCTGTAGTCTTTTTCAGCTCTGATCTGCTGTGAATTCTTTTTTTTTTTTTTTTTAAGATTTATTTATTTATGCATACAAGAGCTGGGATACAGGCCAGAGATGCAGGGGGGGGGGGGGAGGACTCACCAGAGATAGAGTGGGGAACAGAACAGGCAGATCTACTGAAATACACTGCTGAGGGGAGCAGTGGGTGACACAGGAGAGGTCTGCTGATCATGTGGGTTGCTACCTGGCCTGCTGGGGATTGAACTGGTGCCGCAGAGGCTGCATATTGCCTCATAGTGCAGTGCTTAACCCCTTGCGCCACCAGGGAGGTCCTGCTGTGAATTCTTTTTTTTTTTTTAAGAGATGAATGGCAAGGGTCTTTTTTTTTTTTTTTTTTTTAAAGATTTATTTATACAAGCACTGGGTACAGTCAGAAGCGCGGGAGGGTGAGAGAATTCACCAGAGCCAGAGCAGGGAGCAGAGCAGGCAGAAGGACCGAAGTACACTGCTGAGGGGAGCAGCGGGCGGCAGGAGAGGTCTGCGCGCCATGTGGGACCCTCCTCCGGAGGCCAGGAGCAGCCGGGGATCGAACCGGCGCCGCAGAGGCTTCAGGCAGCTTTGCAACCCAGCGCTCAACTGCTGCGCCACCGGGGAGGCCCCTGCTGTGAATTCTTATTGCTAAACTCTCAAGCTGAGCTCACCATTGGAGCGTACTGGATGAGCTCTCACCCAGATGCCCCGTGCTGTGACTGCATATGCAGCTGAGTTTTTACTGGTTTCTGCTTTCATGATCACATGTGTTTGCTGCCTTCATGAATCGGTCTTAGTTTGTGAGGACAGGAACAGTGTTGTCAAGTACTGTGCTCTGTAAATAGAAAGCAGACAATAAATGTCTTCTGGTTCAGTCTATCAGCAAACATCTATGAGCCTCTCCAAGACTGCACAGATCTTCCATGCCAGTGTGTAACAGGGTGTGAAAAATAGGACCTTAGTTCCACATGAATATGATAGATAGCACAACCACAATAACAACAGAACACATGGAAATGCACAACTAAATAAGATTAAAACATTTTCTCACTTTGGACCTTTCCGGGTTATTATTTGTGAATCTCCAAACACTGGTTCCCTAAAATATACACCATTTCCCAAATGTACTGCATCAGAGAGCACATTTACTTACCCGCTCAAGAAAGCACTGTGAGTCTCTAGGTCTAACTTCTGGTTGACAAATACTGCAGTGGTTAAGGAACACGTTTGTAGGGTAAGTATAGTATCAGGCTTTTCTGCCCTCCCACCGTTAGCATTGATGATGGATCCCTGCGGTCCTAAATGCATGCCTGATGGCGGGCACCTGGAGTAGGGTGTGGGCATGTGTAGATGGGATTCACTTGGGCTGAGACTGGGCTTATAGGGGTGGTATCGCCAGGAGCCAGCGAAACAGCAGAGTAAAAGGAGCAGAAAAGCAAAGGACAAGAGAGAACGCCGGAGGGCCCAGGAAGAGTGAAGATTCGCTGGGTGCTGGGAGGCCTGCCAACCTCCCGGCCCCACAACCCCGTCTGCTGTGTAAATGATAAATCCCAATAAATGCCTGCAAAAGTCATTGAGGGTTCTAGGAATCTCCTTTACCCCATCTGCCCAATTGTAGAGATCCTGCCCTGTGCCCATTCCTGCCACTACAGTATCCTTTGACTAAACTATTTGATGTGATGTAAGGGCAGGAACGGGCACAGTGCAGGTTTTCTGATCCCATGCAGACCGGGTAAAGGAGGAGTCAGAGTCCTCAGTGGTTTTGCAGGTCTTTTATTGGGGTTCACCAGGCATATGGCAGGCAGGGGTGCTGGCTGGGGGGCTGGGAGGCTGGCAGGCCTCCCAGCCCCCAGCAAGTCTTTACTCTATCTGGGCTCTCTGGCGTTCTCTGCTTCTGCTTCGGCTTCTCCTTCAGGTTCTGCTGCTGCTGGCTGGGGCTGCTGGCATCACCCCGTGACGCCGCCCTTAAAAAGCACAGTCTTAGCTCAGCTCAATCCCATCTACCTATGCCCACACCCTATTCCAGGTGCCCGCCATCAGGCATGCATTCAGGACAAGGATCCATCATCTATCCTGATGGCGGAAGGGCAGAAAAGCCTGACATTTTCTCTACCCTACATGTGAATTATTAAAGAACATGTGTAAAGTCAGGAACAGACACAGTGCAGGTTTCCTGATCCAGCAGACTGGGTAAAGGAGGAGTCAGAATCCTCAGTGGTTTTTTGCAGGTCTTTTATTGGTTTATTGGGGTTACTTTTATTGGTTTATTGGGCTGGCAGGCCTCCCAGCCCCCAGCAAGTCTTCACTCTATCTGGGCTCTCCGGCCTTCTCTTCTTCTCTCTCGGCTTCTGCTACTTCTTTCTCGGCTTCTTGGCTTCTACTTCTGCTGGCATCCCCGTGACGCCACCCTTAAAAGCACAGTCTTAGCCCAGGTGAATCCCATCTACCTATGCCCACACCCTATTCCAGGTGCCCGCCATCAGGCATGCATTCAGGACCGCAAGGATCCATCATCTATCCTGATGGCGGGAGGGCAGAAAAGCCTGACATTTTTCCTTACCCTAGAACATGCTAACATGCTTAAGTTAAATATTAGGTATGGAACACTACAAAAAGGAAAGCTTTTTTTTTTTTTATAAAGATTTACGCATACAAGAACTGGGATACAGGCCAGAGGTGTGGGGTGAGAGGATTCACCAGAGACAGAGTGGGGAACAGAACAGGCGGGTCTACTGAAGTACACTGCTGAGGGGAGCAGCGGGCAAGTCAGGAGAGGTCTGCTGTGCCATGTGGGTAGCTCCCTGGTTGGGGATCAAACTCGTGCTGCAGTGGCTGCAGACAGCTTCATAGGTTGTGTCCTAACCCCTTGCGCCACCAGGAAGACCTGAAAACTTTATATTTTAGTATGCCTGTATAATGAGTACTCGAAGTCTCTCCCCAAATAAAAGCACATATCCAATTTATGCAATGCTTTGCATACTCTCCATGAGGCTGCCAGATCCCTACAGTCTTTGGCCAGGCGCCTTACATGGGAAAGGACAGGGAAATGCTAAAGCCCTGTCTTGGGCCTCCCCTGGTGGCGCAGCAGTTGAGCGCTGGGCTGCAAGGCTGCCCGCAGCCTCTGCAGCGCTGGTTCATTCCCCGGCCACTGGCTAGGATCCCACAAATAAATAAATAAATAAATAGATAGATAGATAACTAAATAAATAAATAAAGCCCTGTCTAGAATGCAGAAGGATTAGCTATACATATTGAGGTTTTACCTGTAATAACATAAATGATACTTTCTTTATCCCACATGAAAAATAAGGAAACAGGCACACACACACATAAGGGAACGCTAAAATTAAAAAGGCAAAAGACCCATAATAGCTAAAACAATTTTGAAATAGAAAAGTAATTGTGAGGAATCCATCGACCCGATTTGAAGACTTACTATATATTGTAATCAAGATGGTGGTACTGACAGACTGTAAAGGATTGGCTTACTGTTGTGCAGAAGGCAAAGTGCTAGGTGCATTGAATATTTTATTTTCTATTCATACGTTTTCTTTTTATATATGAAGTAATTGAGGCTCAGAGTAATGAAGCTGCCGAAGTGAAACTGAAGCACTTATCATCAGTCTGATTCTATGATGTTTGTTTGTTCCACTACTTCAAGACACTGGAGTATTGATGAGCAGAAGGAAATGTAGGTACAGATAAGACATGAATGGAAGAGAACGGGGAACAGTGAGGGCAAATTCTGGTGCTTAGGGCGGAGTGAGAGTAAGAAGAAACTGAAATGGAGACGTATATTTTGGGGCAGGAGAATGAAATCATGAATATCATATTTTAGGAAATTTAGCCTGAAAGTAATACAGAATGTATTAATCAGGAGAGAATGGAGACTGGGAAATTAGCTAAAACCAAAAAAAAAAAAAAAGCAAAGAGATTGTGACACTTATACAGGGAGGAGGAAGTGAGGTATTGAACTCACTTCTGGATGGAGTGGATCGAAGAGACTCTGGTTTTATTTAGCTAGTTTAGCAAATACTTATTGAGGAATTCCATGATCCTAATATGGTTCCCAGGACTAGTAAAACAATGGTAAATAAGGCAGACCTTGGGCCTGCTCTGGCAGATTTTACAAAAGCACCCATGGGTTTGATGATAGAGCGGAGAGAGGGATAAAAGAAAAAAAAAAAAAAAATGATACTGGAGGTCAAATTCTCAAACATGAAAACATGGGCTTCCCTGATAGTACAGGGGTTCAAGTGTCATTGCTACCAAGCTATCTATCACCAGCTACTGCAGCATTTCAATCCCCAGCCAGGGAGCTGACTCACATGGCACTGCAGACCTCTCCTGTCTCTCCTGCTGCTCCCCTCAGCAGTGTATTTCAGTAGACCTGCCTGTCCTGCTCCCTACTCTGTCTCTGGTGTATCCTCTGATCCCCCAAGTCTCTGGCCTATACCCCAGTTCTTATATGCATAAATAAATAAAAATAAATCTTTAAAAAAAGAAAGAAAACAACTCTTATTTCTGATTTGATATTATTGAGTTTGAGTTTTTTCCTGCTATATCTTCTTGGATAAAATCTTTACATAAAAGAAAGTGTGGGTTAGAATGCTCTGATACTAAGAAAAGAATTGTGATTTCTTATGTCTCAAAATCTCTAATATCACTTCTCAGTGGGGATTGGCTTCCTTAAATGTTAAAATGTGGGCTATCTTAGAATTAACTAAGGCCTAACCCTGACTGCATGCTGGAATCACCAGGGAAAAGTTTCTACACACCACCCAAGCCTGGCCCTCATCCCAGACCACCTAAATTAGAATTTCTGTTCATGGACTGAGGCAAGGTTATTTTTTAACTTTCCTAGATGATTTTAATAGGATAGAGATTGGTTTACATCATCTCTAATGCCCTTTCCACCTCTGAAGAAGCCTCTGATTCTCAGGGAGAGAAAATTAAGCCTTCTTTGAAAGGTACAGCGTGGTAAAGAAAAGGAGAGCCAGGCTAAATTTCTCAAAGGTGTTATAGGACAGGGAGAGGGGCAGCCCAAGCCCCGCAAACCTGCCTATTCTACATGGGTTCTGCCATCCGCCGCATCAACACAAAACATATGACACTTTAATGGGAAGGAACTTTAATAAAAACTAGGAAACAATACAGGTAAGGCAAAGAGTCTAGTTTCTAAATGAAGCACCCAAAGTTACCCGTCCCCTCGTGGGTAAAAGTCCATCCATATGGGATTGGCCCAGAGCAAGGCCCCAAAGCCTGCCACAAGTCTAAAACATCTTCCAGTGGGGACCCACAGAAAAGGGTCACAAACAACTGGACAAGCCCGGAAGGAAAAGAGCAAAATCAACATCCAGATAAAAGCTGCCATTGTCACCTCCCCACGGGTCTCACCCACATCTGTGTCACCCAGTCCACGACCAAAAGACAAGCTCAGTTTCTTCACATGTCTCTAGGCTCCATGCGCCTCCTCCAGGTCTCCTTCTGGCTCCATCCTGCTTCCTTCCTCAGTCTCTTCTGCAGCTTCTCCTCTTCCTGCTCAGCTCCACCCTCCCTTGGGTGGGGCAGGGAACCTGGAATTTCCCCCTTTCCTGGGGACCACCCTGTTACAAAGGGACAGAAAGTTTATTGCGCCCCCAGGGGGACCTCACGCACCCAAGGTGGGAGTCAGTGAAGCCACGCACGTTGTCAGGGGGAAGCGGGGGTTTTATAGGGTAAGGAGAGGTCAGGTGGGAAGTTGGGTTCCTATGGCGGGAAAAGTTTGTAGGGCTGGAAAAGTTTGTAGGGCGCGAAAAGGTTCCTGGGGCAGGTAGAGGTTCTTTGTCTGAGAAG